TTTGCAAAAGGTAGTTCTCTGAGAGGCTTCCTGCCTACATTTCCTGATAACAGTCCTTCTCTTCTTGGAATTCCAGTTTCTTCTAAAAGGTCCTAAGCAACACTGCAACTAAGTCGTTGCCATGACTACATTTACAAAACAAAAGTTATCTCAGTTACCTGTGGAACTCTGCCTCCCTACTAGGCCAACACCCACCCTCTATCTTCCCTTCTGGGTGTGGGTGGGGCAAGCTGACTAAATGGCTCCTGTATTTCCTGGGAGGCTATTTTTTTTGTGGGGGGGAGGTTCCGGTCATGGGACCTGAACTCTGGGCCTGGATGCTGTCCCTCAGCTCTTCAACTCAAGGCTAGCACTGTACCAGTTGAGCCACAGCGCCACTCCAAGCTTTTTTCTTTTTGCTTATGTGGTGCTGAGGAATCGAACCCAGGGCCTCAGGCATTCAAGGCAAGAGCTCTACCAATGAGCCGCCTTCCCAGCCCATGGAAGGCTATTTTTTTAATGTGGCTCCCCAGTTATCTGTTATTATGGCATTGAGAAGCTGGGTTGTGAAAAGACGCGCAAGACTACAATTAGTACGGAAAGTCTAGCGCCAGTGGAAGCTTACATGTATGCTTTCTAGAGTGGCTGGAGCACCAGTACTGAAAAGAAGATTACAACCTGTCTGGAGAACTAGGACAATGATTACATGATTGGTGAGTAAACTTGCTTCCCATTCCATTTTCACCACGGTTTTTCACTCTAATAATCCAATCTGTGGCCTTCTTATTCCCTTATTTTCTCCACCCCACCCCACACCCAACAGCAAGGGACAATCCCCCTCTATTCTCTTTTCTCTGTCTTCTCTAGAATCACTTGCAATATAAACCAATGTCCTCACCTACTCAGGTAAACTTTTTATATAGGTATCAGAATAAAATTTCTTGAACTATATAGACTTTTATTCACTTGATTTCCCTTAAGTAAATTAAAATAACTGGCTGTTGACAGGGCACATCTGGATATTTCCCATAGAGATAATCTGTTACATTTTAGGACATGGTAGATTATATTTGCTATTTCCCCAAATGGACTTTACAAAAGCCATCCGTGGCCCCAAAGATGTTTCTGGACCTCTCATCATGTGTGACTAAATAGGCCTCAGTGAATTAAGCTGAGAAAGCTGCAAAACAAAGCAGATCACTTCAGTTATGGAATATTAAGAGAATAAAAGTAGCTTTATACCACTGGATCTTTAGTGAAAAGATAGAATAAAAAGAAGAAAAAATATTGGAGGATGCAATATAAACCAATTGAAACGTATCCAACCGATGATCTGGCTTTGAAGTGGCTATTTACTAGTGTGGTCATAGACCATCGTGTCCAGAAGGATAAATCAATGTGTTTTGAAAGATCCTAAACCAAATATACTTGTAATAATGACCAAAAGCGTTAGGACAGGTACGTTTCTGTCCTCCAAATTCCAGCTTTAATCCTAACATGTCCAGTTGTTATAATACCTTCACAGTCATGACACTTATGGATATTACGTCTTATGTCTTCTCTGCAATATCTTAAATGCTCAGAGAAGTTACACCTTCTGACAAAAGGACAGTATGTGTGTCACACACATGGGGGCACACACACTCTGTTTGCCCGGAGTGCTGTGTAGCTTACCATGTCCAGTTATAGTTTAGGTCTAGCATCCACATAGGAGGGAAAACACGTGCCGTGCCGTTGGTCGGTCGGTCGGTCGGTCGGTCGGTCGGTCGGTCGGTCTGTCTTTCCACCGGTCTGTCTTCCCCTGGCATCACCTGTTCTAGGTCCTTCTCCGCTGCCGGCAGCCCCCCCCCCCCCCCCCCCCCCGCGCGCTCCTAGTCCATCGATCTACTTCCCTGTAACTGACATAATCTTATTCTTATTCTTTGGGGAACAGATGAATAAACTTTTACCTTGTGGATATTGTACACACACCGTAACTTGTGTGTGTGTGTGTGTGTGTGTGTGTGTGTGTGTGTGTGTGTGTGTGTGTTGACGGAATAGAGTGTTTGCCATGCCTGATTCCCTGGCTCTGCCTCTCTACCCATCTGTGATGCGATGTGTGTGCTGGGGCACTTGTGCCTGCGTATGTTCCCAGTGCGAACTCCAAAGAGAAGTACGCCCGCCGGGCCTGTGGGTTCTAACCGTGCTTCGCCCCCGGGAGATAGGATCGCCCCTCTGATGCCTCCACTCTGTTTGGGCCGGGGCCCCTCGTCTCTCCCTGTCTTTCCTCCTAGGGTTCCCTACCTGCCCTCCCCCCAGCCCCGCACACACACACTGTGCACCGCCACGCTCAGGTCCAGGTCCTCCACCACAGGCATGTGAGTGATGATGCCTCTACCCTCCAACGCCTGTGTGTAGGGTTTAGATTCATCGCCTCATGCCCCGAATCCTGCTTCAGAGAGAGTGGCAGAGCCTATTAGAAAAGGCTAGCTGTCTGGACAGGCTAGAGTACGAACCGGTGAGAAGGTCGTTCCGTCAGGTGTGGTGCCCGGGGATAAGCGACACACGGGTGCCACCTCCCCTTCCTTCCCCACCCAGCCAGCGGCTCTCGTTTGGCTTTCCTGTCATTCAGTGATGGATGAGTGGACTCAAGCTTCCCATTGCACTGTCACCGTGGTTTTCCAGACCTGTGTGCGTGACGTACCTACTCTCTGTGTGTTAGAAGAAACCTCTCTCTGGTCTTCCCCCTGCCCTTTCCCTGCCTGTGAGGGGTGGCGGGTGGGGGCGGGGGGAGGGAGTGTGTTGTGGGGAGGGCGAGCGGCAGACTTTCACAAGTGAGCGGGGTGCCTCCCGAGGGCTCCTCTCTTGCTGGAGCCGACCCATCTTTGGGAGTTTTTTTTTTTTTTCCTTTCTGGTTTCCACCTGGGGGAAAAAGAAAACAAAAAGTACAAACAACCCCCCCCCAAAAAAAAAGACGGGCAGGCAGATGGTGGGACCGGGGCGGCTGTTCTGTCGGACTTTGCGCCCGCAGGCGAGCGCGGGGTAGGGCCATGCGTTGCTGCTCTCTCTTCCGTGCCCGGTCTGTGCGGGGGTGGCAGCTTTGTCGGGTCGACCAGTAGTTTTGTCTGGGCCCGAGGCCTTGTTCTCCTCCCCTCCCTGGACTCTGGTCTTTGAGGGCGAAAAAAGGAGAGTACGAGGGACGTCTCAGGAGTCGGGGGAGAGGGTCCCTGGGTGAGCGGATAGGTGGTGGGGCCGGTCCCGGCCCGGACTCGGACCCCCCCCCTCCCCGGAGTCACCTCCGAGTGAGCGCTTGGCGCATGCCGGGTGTGAGGGCCTGGGTAGCCGGCCCTGTGTGGCCTCCCTCCATGGCCCTGGCGGCCGGAGGACAGACCTCTCTGGCGGGAGGAGCCGTGGGCACAGCCGAGGCGAGCCTCGGGGCCGGGACCTACCTACCATCTGCGGGGACTTGCCCTGTGGGCCCTGCATAGGGGAAAACTCGAGGCGGAGGGAGCACCTCGGGAGTCGGGGACCCGAGCCCGGGAGTACCGGGTGTGTGCGTGCTGGCTCTGTTGGGGATGTGTTGGGGACCTGGTTTTGGCATGGTGACATGAGGATTTTGTACCTGCAGGAGGGTGCTGGCATGCTGTGTCCAAGTGGCTGTCAGCAGGTCTTTGGGGGCTCTCTCGGAAGCTGTGTGCCGGGCCTTTCCCATCTCTTCCCGGTCCGGGTCCCCCTGTCCTTCCCCCCGCACCCTGGGCTCCCGCTGCCCTGAGCAGGCCCTGTGCCCCTGTGGTGGCTCGTGGGTGTGGTGGTGGTTGGTTGGTGGTTGGCGGCTGAGTGAGTCCCGTTGTCCTTGATCTCTCCCCCGCTCCCGGTGCCAGATTCTGGCCCTTGCCTCGGCACGCCGAGGAGGAGAGTGGTTGGTTGCCTGGGTGCGTAGGTAGGCCCACGCGGTGTGCTTCCCTCGCCGTGGCTGGCTTGAGAAGGAAAAGGGGGGGGGGCGAGTCCTGCCTTACCTGTGCGTGTGCGGCATCCCCGTTCTGCCGTTGGGCACGCCCGACCTCCGTGGCTCCTTTTTTTTTTCTTTCTCCTATTGCCCCTAGCTTTCCAACTCCCCCGACCTGCCGCTTCCCGATGGCAGTCCTGGTCGGCCGCTGAGCTGCGCTACTCCCAAGCGCTGTCCGTGGCTTTTTTTTTTCTTTTTTTTCTTTTTTGTCTTTTCTCCCTTTCTAGCTTCTTCGGTCCTGTGCCCGGCAGAGGTGTCCTGGTTATCCCGAGTGCCAGGGACGTTTAAGCCCGTGGTATTTTTTCATTTCTTTTTTTCGTTTTTTTTTCTTTTTTCTTTTTACCTTGCTCGTTACTCACGAAAGGGTGTCTGTCCTGCTACGCTTTTATCCCAGGCTGTTGGCCCCTCTCAGGAGCCGAGCTTCCTGGGCCACCGCCTCCCGAGTGCCCTGTGGCTGTCTTCTCCACCCCCTCAGTGTGATTGATGTGGTGATGTTGCGATCTCCTTCGGGCCCGGGCCTAAGCTGCGCCAGGCGAGGGACGGACATTCATGGTGAATGGGAAAGCTCTTCTCGTTCTGCCCGTGGGCCCCTGCCCTCACCGTCCCACCGTGCCAGTGCCGGTGGTATGCAGGGAGGCAGGGGTGCGGCAACCGGGTCCAGCTGCGCTCTCCCTGCCCTCACCGGGAGGTCGGGGTCTTGTACACGCTGGATAAGGGGGTCGCCCTGATCTTGCTCCTCTCTTCCCGTGACTTGTTATCGGCACGGGGGTCGGCTCTCTCCGCAGAGAGGGAGGGTCGATGCTCCGTGCTTGCCCATGCTGTGTGGTGTGAAAAGCCGCACCTCGCGCTCTGCCCTCTTGCGGTGCTCCCGGAACGCTCCCGGTCGGTTCTCTCAGGTGCCTGAGGCTCAGTGGCTGTGTTGTTCCCGATCCTGGCATTGTCCGCTGCCTTGTGCCAGCCTGCTGCCCGTGGTGTGTCCCGGCTGTCCTTGGGTTCGTGGGGCTTGTGTGAGTGAGAAGTTACCGTTGAGGTTGACATCTCTGCTGGGGGGGTCGAGGCGGTTCCCCAGAGGAGCGCTCTTCCTTTGTTGCGCTGGGTGGTGGCTTCCCAGCATGAGCTGCCACCCTGGTCCTGGCTTGTCTTCCCTGCCGTGTCACCTGGCTTTTATTGCACCGGGGGACCTTAGATGTTGCAGTGGGAGGCGAGCCGGGCCTGTGCGGGCTTTCCGCCCGTATGCCCGACTTTGCTCTGGCCCCGCACGGCAAGGCCGACTGACCAGGGTTGGTGTTGCTGCTGCCGCAGAACCCCCCTGCCCCACCCCTCCCTGCCCCCGTGGTGGGAAGGATGGACGCCTCTGATGTGTGCTGGTCCCGGCGGGGTTCCCGTCGGGGTTGGGTGCAGGCCACCCTCAGAGTGAGGAGAGGTTCTCTAGCGGTCCTCGTTCGGGAAGCGGCGTGCGCTGCTGGGTTGGTGGGGGCCCGCACCCGATGGGCTCCCGCGGCCCTGCCACTCCCTGTCCCGCTTTTGAGCGTTAGTGGCTGCCCACGTCAGTAACTGTGTGCCTGCGCCTCCCCCCTCCAGCCCCTGGCAACGCTGTTCCCGAGCGTCTGTGTGGGCCGCCGCCCGTTGGTGATGATGGTGCTGTGCAGGCGCTGGGCCCCGCGGTGTTCCAGGGCCGCTGTGCCCAGGGTGGTGTGCCGCTCAGGGGGGTTCTGGCCCTCCGGAGCCGAGGATCCCGGTGTGTGTGGGCCCTTGCTCACGCGGCCGAAAAAGAGGCGGTCAATGATGGGTGCTGTGCCTGGCAGTGTGGATGGATGCGGTGGGGCCCTGCTGGCGCAGGCGGCTCCGCGGGAGTTCACTGGGTCTTTGAGGTGTGTGCGAGCTGCCTGTTCCCTCTCGGGCCTCTTTTGGAGGGGCCCGCTGCTGCCACGGTGGGGGTTTCCGGTCCACTGGTCGGCCGGCTTGGGGTCCCAGGCATTGCGCGGGACCGCCCGGGAGTTGGGAGTGGTGAGATCCCGCGTTCGTTTACCTGGCGTGCCGGCTGTGCCCGGAAAGGTCTCGCCTCCCCGTTGGTCTGCAGCTGCGCCACTCGCCCGTGTGAGGGGGTGGCTGCTTGCTCACTCGCCTCTCACCCCGGTGACGCGACCCGGTGACCCTCCCACTGCTCTTCTTGTTGTGCTTCCGGCATGCCCTCCTCACCCGCATCAGCCTTCCGCTATCTTCACAGGTTTGGCCTGGTGGCCCGCCACCGGCGGACGGTCGAGTTGGGCGTTGTGTGGTGTTCTCTTGGGGGGGAGACGGCGCTCAGCTCGTGAGGCTGCTCTCCCGGTGTGGGGGAGGCACGTCATCGCGGCGGCGGTGGCTTTTGAAGGGTCTTCCCGGATCGGTTTTGCTCATGACGTGAGGGCTCCTGCCAGCGGGACTACCGGTACGCCACGGGGGTGATGGTGGTGAGATTCCCGCGTGCGTCCCTTGCTCGGGAGTTGGCCGTCCGAGGGCCCGAAGCCGGCGTCACGTGCCTCCTCCCTCTGGGCACCGCCTCGCGTGCCTGCGCGGTTGTCCCGGGTTCCCGCGCCTCCCTCCAGCTTCGCCCTGTGTAGGCTTGCCCTCATCGTCTCTTCCGTCTCAAGCCATGTGGCTTCGTCCCCGCCTCTGTCCCGGATCCGGGGTGTTGTGCTCTCTCTTGGCGTGTCTCCGCCGCGTGCCCGGCGCAACCCTGGTTCCCGCATGCGTTGGGTTTGGTGTCGCCCACCTCCCGGGGTCCCTGCCGCCGCCTCCGGCTGCCGTCGTTGGCCGGTGACCTGTCGCCGATGGGTCGTTGCCGCAGACCCCCGACCCCCTGCCGGCACGGCCAGTCCACGGTGGCGAGGGTCGTTGTGTGCTCGGCCCCCGCATCCGTGCGAGCGAGTGAATTCGGGCCGGCTTCTGAGGGAGGTGGAGAAAAACCCCGTGGCCATGTGGTGTGCGTTGCGTTGTGTGTGTCTCCCCTGGCTTTATGGCCACTCGGGTGTGCGCCACACGCGACCCGGCCGGCTGGCCGGCTGGACCGTGGACTTCGGTGCGCCACCTCCGGGCGGAGAAGGGGCCTTGCGCTCCTCCCTGTCCTTGTGTACGCGCCGCCACTCCTGTGCCCGCTGGGCCAGCAGGCGGGGTGTCGGTGATGCGGTGCCCTTGTGCTTGGGTGCGGTGCGGTGCCCTTCCCCCCCGGCCACGGGTTCCTCTGCCCTCTCCGTGCTCTTCCTCTCACTGCTCGTCACCGCGCGGTGGCCTGCTTGCACCCATGTGCCCGCGCCGCCATCCTGGATGGTGGCAGTTGGGTCTAGTTGGTGGCCGGCTTGGCCCACCCGTGTTGGTCTTCCCGGTCGCTGCCGGCGTTCGCTGGTCGGTGGCATCGGTCTCCCGGATCAAGGTCCGCGCCTCCCTCCCTTCCCGTGCCCGCTCCGCGCCCACCCTCGTGTGTGCTCTCGGGCCGGTCGGGCCTGCCTGGTCGTTCTGGTGTGCGGCGACCCGGGATCCGCCTCGCCGCCCTCGCTCCCCCTCGTTGGCTCCCCGTCTTCTCCTCGCCATCGCCCGCTGGCCGGGAGGGAGGGTTTGGGTTCTGCACTCTCCTCGCTCACGCTCGTTGACGTCTGGTCCCCGTGGAGAGACAGATGGATGCCCTGGTTTGCCCGTGTTCCCTCTCCGCTCCTTCTGCCCCCCCCCCGTCGGGAAAGAGGTGGGGGTGTTGTGGGGTGGGGTTCGCGGTGTGTGGGCACCGTGCGGCCGTGCCGCCTGGGCGCGCCGTTCTGTCGGCCCGCGACGACGGGCGTCGGGGGAGGTGAGGAGGAGAGCCCCCCGTTGTCGCTCGCCGGTGTCGCTCTCTCTCTCCCCTCGCTCGCCCGGATTTGCCACGTGCCGGCGGTCAGCCACCTGGTGGCACGTTCCAGCGCGCTCGCCAGCCCCGGTGTCCTCTGTACCCCCGCTTCCCCACCCCACCCGTCCCCCCTCTCCGGAGGGAGGAGGAGGAGCGGGGGAGGTTCCCGGGCCCTCCGGGCTTGCCCGCGCTCCCCTACCTGGTTGATCCTGCCAGTAGCATATGCTTGTCTCAAAGATTAAGCCATGCATATCTAAGTATGCACTGCTGATACATGAAACTGCGAATGGCTCATTAAATCAGTTATGGTTCCTTTGGTAGCTCGCTCCTCTCCTACTTGGATAACTGTGGTAATTCTAGAGCTAATACATGCCTCCGGGTGCTCACCCCCTCCCAGGGGGGGGGGATGCATGCATTTATCAGATCAAAACCAACCCGGTAAGCTCCCTCCCAGCTCCGGCTGGGGGGCGGGCGACCACGGCTTTGGTGACTCTAGATATCCTCTGGCCGATCGCACGCCCCCCGTGGTGGCGACGACCCATTCGAACGTCTGCCCTATCAACTTTTGATGGTAGTTGCTGTGCCTACCATGGTGACCACGGGTGATGGGGAATCAGGGTTCGATTCCGGAGAGGGAGCCTGAGAAACAGCTACCACATCCAAGGAAGGTAGCAGGCGCGCAAATTACCCACTCCCGACCCGGGGAGGTAGTGACGAAAAATAACAATACAGGACTCTTTCGAGGCCCTGTAATTGGAATGAGTCCACTTTAAATCCTTTCGCGAGGATCCATTGGAGGGCAAGTCTGGTGCCAGCAGCCGTGGTAATTCCAGCTCCAATAGCGTATATTAAAGTTGCTGCAGTTAAAAAGCTCATAGTTGGATCTTGGGAGCGGGCGGGCGGTCCGCCCCGAGGCCAGTCACCGCCCGTCCTTGCCCCTTGCCTCTCAGCGCCCCCTCGATGCTCTTAGCTGAGTGTCCCGCGGGGCCCGAAGCGTTTACTTTGAAAAAATTAGAGTGTTCAAAGCAGGCCCGAGCCACCTGGATACCGCAGCTAGGAATAATGGAATAGGACCGCGGTTCTATTTTGTTGGTTTTTGGAACTGAGGCCATGATTAAGAGGGACGGCCGGGGGCATTCGTATTGGGCCGCTAGAGGTGAAATTCTTGGACTGGCACAAGACGGACCAGACCAAAAGCATTTGCCAAGAATGTTTTCATTAATCAAGAACGAAAGTCAGAGGTTCGAAGACGATCAGGTACCGTCGTAGTTCCGACCATAAACGATGCCGACTGGCGATGCGGCGGCGTTATTCCCATGACCCGCCGGGCAGCTTCTGGGAAACCAAAATCTTTGGGTTCCGGGGGGAGTATGGTTGCAAAGCTGAAACTTAATGGAATTGACGGAAGGGCACCAACAGGAGTGGAGCCTGGGGCTTAATTTGACACACGGGAAACCTCACCCGGCCCGGACACTGACAGGATTGACAGATTGATAGCTCTTTCTCGATTCCATGGGTGGTGGTGCATGGCCGTTCTTAGTTGGTGGAGCGATTTGTCTGGTTAATTCCGATAACGAATGAGACTCTGGCATGCTAACTAGTTATGCGACTCCCCAGCGGTCGGCGTCCCCCAACTTCTTAGAGGCACAAGTGGCGTTCAGCCACCCGAAATTGAGCAATAACAGGTCTGTGATGCCCTTAGATGTCCGCGGCTGCACGCGCGCTACACTGACTGGCTCAACGTGTGCCTACCCTACGCCGGCAGGCGCGGGTAACCCGTTGAACCCCATTCGTGATGGGGATCGGGAATTGCAATTATTCCCCATGAACGAGAAATTCCCAGTAAGTGTGGGTCATAAGCTTGCGTTGAATAAGTCCCTGCCCTTTGTACACACCGCCCGTCGCTACTACTGATTGGATGGTTTAGTGAGGCCCTCAGATCGGCCCCGCTGGGGTTGGCCCACGGCCCTGGCGGAGTGCTGAGAACACGGTAGAACTTAACTATCTAGAGGAAGTAAAAGTCGTAAGAAGGTTTCCGTAGGTGAACCTGCGGAAGGATCATTAACGGAAAGAGCACTGACGCACGTGCGCGCGAGCGGGTCGAGCTCAGCACGAGGGTGGCCTTCCGCGATCTGCCGGGGTTGCCGGCGCCGCGGTCCCTCGGAGCTCCTCCTCCTAGTCGTCTTTTCCGCGTTGTCGTGGCTGTCTGTCTGTCCCCGTGTGTTCGCTCTCGCATGTCGGGGTCGGCCTGGGAGGAGGGGCCCGTCCATTCCCGGGGCGGCTGTGCCGGTGAGGACCTTCCCCCCATCCCGGTGTTTCCCGCGGCTGCGGACGGGTGAGCTGGCGAGGGGGCACGAGAGAGGAGGAAGGAGCGGTAGAGATGCAGGCTGGGATGGCATGGCCGGCGTCGGCCTGGTGGGTGTGCCTGTCTGCGGTGCCGTCCGCGCGGCGCCCTTGCCGCGGGTGGGCGAGCCGGTGCCCGGGTTAAGGCATGTTGCGGGTGGGTTGTGTCGCCCGCCGGCTGCGGGTAGCCACGGTGGGACCGGGTTCCGGGCCCGGGCGGCCAGGAGCGGATGGGCACGTGCCCTCCGTCCCGCTGCTGCCGAGCGGGCCCGCGGGCCCTCCCTGCCGCGGTGTCGCCCCCCCCCCCCCCCCCCCCGCTGCCTCCGCAGACGTCCTTGTCCAGATCACCAGCTTCCCTCTGCCCCTGCTCCGCCAACCCTTCCCGCGTCCGGGCCCGCATGGCGCATTGCATTCCCCAGCTGCTGGGGGCTGCCGACAGGTCCCCTTTTCCCTGTCGGCCCGCCTCCATCTCTGCGCTCGCTTCCCACGTCCCCGCGCTCCTCTCCTGTCCTGCGCCACCGCAGGGGCACCACGCCTCGGGCCCCTGCCTCGCCTTGCCTGCGCAACCTCGTGGCGGTCCCCTTCTCCACTGGCTTTCCTAAACTGGGCGCCTAGCACATCGGTCGGGGGGGGGCTCGGCCTCACTAGTGTGTGGCCGCCGTCCTCCCCCTCTCGGTCCGCCTTCGCCTTCCCCTCCGCCCGCCCTCGTCCCCCGCGGCCTCGGTGGCCCGGTCTGGGACCGGCTCCCCACAGTGGCACCTTACCCGGCCTCTGGCGGGGTGGCCCCCGCTATCGGGCTTGCCGCGTCCCATGGCTCCGTTCAACCCCTTCCCCCGTGTGGTTGGGGGGAGTGGCGGCGGGTGGGGCCAGCGGTGGTGCAGCTCGGGGGTGGGGAGGGTGTAGGGCGGCCGCCTCCCAGGCGTCGCTGCCCCCCCCACCTCGCTCATCCGCACTCTCGTGTCCAGGTACCTGCTATCGCGTTCTGGTGCAGAGGATTAAAGACCCATAGGGGGTCGCCCGTCCGTTCAAGGGGTCGGGGCGGCAGCCCCTTGGGGAGGCCGGTCCCCGGTCTCTCCCAAAATCCGCCCCCATCCCAGGTCGGGGCAGCCTACGCTCGCTGGCGTGGGGGCCGCTTCTCCCGCAGCCCGGGCTTCGGGGATGGGCTCCCCCGGGGCGCCTGTGGGGCCGGGGGCATCTGAGCACCCGCCCGCCGCACCCCCTGCGCTGGAGTGGCTGTGGTGCCGGGCGTCCCCGTCCCCGTGTCTCATCTGTCTGACCCCCTCCGTGTCTCGTTCTCATTCTGTCTCTGCTGGCCGACCCGAGGTGACCCGCCCATGCCCTCCTCTCCCCTCTCGGGTTTGGGGGTGCGGGACCGGGAAAACAGTACCGTGCCAGCCGCGTATGCCCCGCGTCGGGCCACGACCCGATTGGTACGACTCTTAGTGGTGGATCACTCGACTCGTGCGTCGATGAAGAACGCAGCTAGCTGCGAGAATTAATGTGAATTGCAGGACACATTGATCATCGACACTTCAAACGCACTTGAGGCCCCAGGTTCCTCCCGGGCCTACGCCTGTCTGAGCGTAGCTTGACGATCAATCGCCCCCCGGGAGTTGCCTTGCCCCGCGGGGTGGCGCGGCTGGGGTGTCCCTTCGCAAGGTCCCCTTTCGGGGGCCCTCCGTCCCCCTAAGTTCAGACTCTGGCGGTCGTAGCTTCGCGGTCCCGTCTGGCTTTTAGAGCGAGCGAGTGAGCGATTGGTCATCCCGGGGGGGTTGGTATCTGCGCAGAGATGAGCCCGCGGCCGGGTCTTGTCTGTCCCGCCCTGCACTGTGTTCCGCGGTGCCCGAACTGGGGGATGACGTTTTCGCGCCGGGCGCTTGAGTCGGGTCAGGGCGGCCCTGTGCCGCGTCCGCCGGCTGCGAGCGAGTGTTTTGCAGGCTCCCGTGTCCCGCGGACTCGCATGCCGAGGTGGACGGTCCCGCGGGACTCCGTGGTCGTGCCTTCGGCCAGACGCATGTGTCTTCCCCGGGGAGGGTTCCCCGCGCACCGCCCCGCGTTGCCGTGCCGGCCCCCGGTCCCGCCCGCATCTGTCCCCTCTCGTGCCGTCTCGTGTCCCACCCCCGCCGTCCCCTGGATGGTCGTTGGGCCACGGGGCCCCCGTGCCGCGGGGGCGTGGCTTTCCCCCTTTGCTGCCGCCGCCGCCACCACCTCCCTCGCCCGCCGAGAGCCCGTCCGCCGCCCTTTGCCTTCCTTCCTCCGAGATGCGACCTCAGATCAGACATGGCGACCCGCTGAATTTAAGCATATTAGTCAGCAGAGGAAAAGAAACTAACCAGGATT